CAGATTCATTAATCACATATTTATAGAAACCGGGAATGAAGTTGCATATTCGCTCATAAATATTTTCGGAGAGTAAATAATAAAACCGAAAATAATTCGGGAATATTTCAGGTTCCATTCACTTTCGTCATTTTAAGGCCATATGACAACGACGTAAGGACAACCGCTTAATAGAAAGAAATCGTATTTGTAAAATATGCAATTAATATTTTATTATGGGAACCGTTACACGTATCTTATACAAAGACTTCTTCCTGTCTTTCCATTTTTAAATTAAAATTCGATAAACATTAAAAAAAATATACAAATGCCGCATCTGATGGGAGATTAATTTGCCTCATTTTCAAATCAATTTCGTTTGTTGATGAACGTGTTACAGCGAACAAAAAATATGCAAATATGGTTGATTCTATGCAGTCTTTTAATTATTTGCAATTGAGTATTTACTCACGTTAATGTCAATGTTTATTTAACAAAAACAAGTTGATATTTTACCTAATTTCAACCGTGACATATTGCACGGTGAAAGCTGCACAGTAGATAAAGGTTTATTAGAAAAAAAAGAGAATAGCTACCATAGAAAATTATGTAAACGCAAACATTTTGTCTTCGCTATTTGCGAACAGCCAAATGGTTCCATTAGGCAAATTGCTTATTTTCGATTATGCTAAATTACGCAAGTAATTATACTAGAATGCGATTATGTGTATTTTTGTGATGTAACACGACACAACAGCCTTTCTTTCCTATTTTTTTCTTTACTTGATTGTGTGTTTCAGCCACATGATTAGGCAAGGGATTGATTTTAAAAATTTAATTTTCTTAACCAGAAATATCTCACTGTGAGAAAGGAGATAATATTCACAATTACACGATAACCATTGTAACACATCAGGCAGTCAACGTTTCGAAAAACTCTGTTGTTGTTGATAAATGCAATTATTTTAAAAATATATGAGGTATGTGTTAATAAATATTTTCTGTAATATCTTCATAACCGAGCATAATTTCGACTTTTCTCTACCTATTTCTGATAGTTGCGTGTAAAAATTTAAACGTACAAAAAAGTTACGGAAGAATATTCACAAAGAGTTGTAGTAAAATGAACGCCAAGAGCAAATTTTGCTCAAATCGGTTAACTGGGTTCTAAGTTAAAGAGAAACCAAGAAATTGAAAAAGAAACTTTAACACCCTGTAACTTTCTTTGACATTTTTCGTTTAAGCGAGTTTGGTTCAACATTCGTTAGGTGACACCCTGTATGATATTTGTTCTCGTCGTTGAGAATATTATACAGGGTGCTTCACAAACGGTGACCAAAAATGAAACCTCGTATTCTTTGGTGAATTTTAAGGGGTCTTTCCTATAAAGTTTTTATCTAGGACACTTCGTTAAAAACATACAGGGTGTTAAACTTAACAAAAATATTTTTAATTTTTTTAAGTAATTTAAAAACTATTAAGTGAAATAATTTGAAATTGGGCACATGTATTTATGTAAACATCCAAATTGTGAGGCCTCTTACTAAAATTAAATGCTCCAGTGGCGCAGATACAGGATATCGGTGGTACATTTTTCTAAATAAAATAGTACGCCACTGCTTTACGGTAACAATTATTATGAATCTAGATTTTGCCTGGTTCTGGAATGCGGGAGGTGCCTGTCTCACCGCTGCGCTGGTGGTAAAGATTCTCTATCATTATATTTTCGGATTCGTCTTTCAATTTTCTACTACTCGCTTATGTTTTCCGAAAAAAGCCGGATTTTAGAGTAAAACTTAAAAAAAAAACGATCTGAAAACACGGAATCTCAACACAAACGGCTGGTATACAGTGAATAAATTAATACACCTGAGCAGTTAGAAGAAAGAATAAATAATGCTTTTCGTCAGATCAAGCAACAATAAATTTCGAAGAAATTACATTTTCGTTACTAAAAAGATGTCGCACCTTTGTTCGTGGAAGTGGAGGTATTTTTGAGCATTTACTCAAATAAAATGATTAAAATAATTACTAATATTATTCATTTCTATTCGATTAAACAAGCGAATGATTAGTGTTTGTCATATCATTTAAATAAAAGTGTTTTCAGTTCGTTTTACTTAAAAATCAGGCTTCTTTTAAAAAAAATAAGATAGTAATTTGTAGAAAATTGAAAGACGAATCCGAAAATATCATGATTGTTACCGTAAAGCAGTGGCGTACTATTTTATTTATAAAAATATGCTACCTATACCGTGTATCTCCGCTACTGGAGCATCTAAATTTTAGAAAAAGGCCTCAGATTTTGGACAATGTTTACAAAAATACATGTGTCTAATTGCTAACCATTTCACTTACTAATTTTTAAATTATTTAAAAAAATTAAATGAAAATTATATACCTACGGGAGACTCGATTCACCAAAGAATGGGAGGTTTCATTTTTGGTCACCGTTTGTGAATCACCCTGTATATACGCAAATAATAAGAATAAAAAATATGATATACTATTTTACATCTCTATGAAAGGTAGATAAGCAAAATAAAACAAAAAAAAGCTTGTCACATTTGACTTTAAGACAATTTGATAAAGAAAAAAGTTTTTCGAAGCGTGTAATATGTTGTGTATGAATATGAACAGACAGAACCTTCACATATTATTAACCACGTGACCAATAATTTTATTTAGAACGGTAATTTAATTTTCTCGTGTTGGCAATTAAAAATTATTACATTTTTCACATTTTATTAAGCCACTGGTTTGTAATTGTAAACGAATCATTAATATTGATGACGCTAAGATTTAAGGATTTTTAGTTGACAATGCCAATCGTGCAATGTTGGTTGTCTAAGCTTGGCAGTCAGGTGGCTTGTAATCATTTAAAAGGCTCTGTATTTTGAGAAGCTCCAAGGCAACCATGAATGAGGACACATGTCCAAGAACAGACTAATCAAGTGTGCAAACAAAATATTTTGGAATATGTTGTAATTGTAAAGCTGTGATAAAATGTGCCCAATAATGGCGTGGAAGATTTGTGATAACGTGTGATTCGGAAAAAATTATAATATAAGCGAAAATAATAACGGAAAATAATGTTAAAATAAAGTACTGGAAATAAAATCCAACTTGGGAAACATGGAAATATTTCCAGACGTACTGTCAGGTACAGGGTGTCCCACTTAACTTTCCCACCCTACTGATCTCGGTTAGTTTTGCAGATATAAAAATTTTGTTGAAATGAAAATTGCAGTGTTTTTTATGAAATTTCTGTTTGCAGCAACAAAAAAACAATTCAAATTTAAATGTCGATTTGACAGATTTAAATTTAGCACCATGTAAATTATTACATTTTAGATGTAAAATTTTATTCTGAACAAAAGTATATAACATGTGGCACTTATTTTTTGACAGTTTTATTGTAAAATATCGGGAAACGAAAACAGAAAAGCAAACAATAGTTCGAAAAAATAGTAAAATTATAGAAAGAGTACCTAATGAATATTAACAGAACAAAAAAATATAAATTTTAATAATTGTTCTATGCCTGATTCCCATTCCTCTGGATGTGTATGTAATTCATATATTTTTCTTATTGATGCGATCACATTTTCTAATACGTCAGAATTATTATTGATATTCGCAATGTCGGTCGTTGCATGATTTAGAAAAATCAAAATCTCTAGCGGAGAACCTAGGATTTTCTTGGAAATATAATTGAATATTTAATTTCATTTCTTGATTATTATTATTAATATTTCTAGTCCGCTTTTTGTCCTCCAACGTATGAAAATGTCTGAACTTACGTGCCATATTCAAGAACGTTTTCCTTGACGGAGTATGCATGTCAGGATATTTGTTTCGGTAATCTCTGACAGCATTATTGTTGTTATTGAAATATACTTCGACAATATTACTACATTCTTCTTTGGTATAATGCATACTTCCCACTTAATTTACCGAAAATTAATTCATAACTACTGTTTATTGTTATTTTAATTGTCATAAACGTCAAAATAATTATCGGAAACAAAATATCAATAAAATCATGGCAATCTTGAATTTGCGGGGTTCATTTATGCGATAAATGCAAATATATCAAAAACTGTCAAAAGTAAGTGCCACAGTATGTTATATACACAATAAAATTTTACATCTAAAAATGTAATAATTTACAGTGTGTTCCATTAAAAAAATTTTAAGTTGTATCTGTCACATCAACAAATTTGAATTGTTTTTTTGTTGCTATCAACAGAAACTTCATAAAAAACATTACAACTTTTATTTCAACAAAATTTTTATATCTGTAAAACTAACCGAGATAAGTGGGGTGGGAAAGTTAAGTGGGACACCCTGTATATCCACCAAGTAAAAAAGTGCTATTGGGAATAAAATGATTTGCATGTCTTTCTTAAAACAGGTGACATTTATACATGTACAAATTTTTACATCCTTATATTAGCAGTTTCAAAGAAATTAAGAAATACCCCTCTTCGAAGAACAACTTCGAGAAAAGCGTTATATGAACTACGTCCATAATTTTTTTCTCTCCCTCCTACATTAATCCTGTACTTTCTATTGACAATGTTTGTAACAAGGCTTGCAAATAACCCTGTATACCTTGTATACCTATTCATGTCTAAATGAAATCATTTAGGATTTAATTATAGTATATTGTAACAAACAGAAATATAAAACTTCGAAATGAAAATTGAAAATGAACTTAAAAAAGACAGTAAACAAACAAGCTCAGCACATATGCAACCCAACATACATAGAAGACTGTAGTTAGTAATTAGTATGACCTAAAAAGAAAATGGAAGCCTTTAAACCGTATCAGGACATCTGATCTCTCAACACAGCGAACGATTTCATACCCACCTTTGAGTAAGGAAGGCGCGGTGTATTACTACAAGTCGTATCAAGAGATCCGACTGTCACATCCCGGTACAGTCAAAGAAACAATGAAACACATACTGCAGCCACAGAATCGAAAAAAAATGATACATAGTGTAAAATCATACCGATCGAATGTGGTGCGGCCGCAGTAACCGTGTTGTTAGAAACAGGAACTACCTGGGTCTGGGTCTCGATGGTGGTGGAGGTATTGGGATTATCTGGAATATCGGAAATAACTACCTCAGGCCTACAGCTAACAGGAGAAATTGGCGCGTCAGGTTGGCTGCCGGCTATAGAAAAAGTTAACCTTTGTTATAAAAAAGCATCAAGGACGTAGTTTTTGAATTTGGAAAAATGCTGTTACAAATTAAAGAGAGTTAATGACAATATTGTACCGTACAGAGAACTCGAGATGTTATGTTTAAGAAAGAAAATGAATATTTATTATTACGACATATTAAATACATCCAAGATGACAGTAATTTAAAATTTGCATTACTGAGCAGCCACGTGACGAACCAGGTCTAATATTAAATAGATTATTCCGACATACATTCAGTGGTATTCATATTCATAGCCATGAAGTCACGATTAACGACAGTCAAGCTCCGCAACAATGTGCTTTCAGAATAACCATACTGCGCATGTGGCAGTCAGTGAGCATGAATACCACTGATTGTATTGTACAAATCAATTCGGCTTAACCTTTTAAGAGAAAATTTCACATTTGCTTTATGTCAAGTCAAATTTCTTAAAAAAAAGTACTTTGGTTTATTCTTTTCATGAGTAGGTTAATCTATTCGCGTTAAAAATGTAGCTTTTATAAAAAACAATTAAACTAGTATTAAATATTAGCTATCAACAGCGATTACTGGTATAGTCATTCCGATCTCAATTAAAGAACCAAGAGGTTGGCAGTATGTACCAGGTTCATGAAATACATATTTGAAAAACTTGTTTCCATATTTATTTAGCCATACCCATATACCCCGCGGGCAAACGCGGCACAAACACAGCCGCACTGGGCGACCTGGATATAAAGTCAGTTGTCAATAAATGGCCTAGCAGTGCAGTGCAGCAATCCGGAATTTGGTGTGATTCAGATAATTTTAATTTATTACAGGCACCTTCTATTAATCATTCATATTACAATTGCGAAAGGAAGAAATAAGAGGGATATTTTGTCTACTAATAATATTACAACTGGCATTTTGGAGACCTTTTGAAACGGAACAAAACGTAATTTACTATCAATATAACAAAATTGTTTGAGGACATAAATAATTAAAATATGTAATAGAAATTTCCTACGCATTATATACAAATTATTATAAATTTTTTACCTTTAGCAGAAAACTTTTTTAGGGATGCCTATGAAACTCATTAAATTTTATTGCTAGGCGTTTTTATACATATTCAACTGACTTCAGAAGGAACTGGTATTACTTTGTGATAACAACACATCTGGTGGTTTCACTCTGAAACTTCATAAATTCTCACTACATTTATACCTATAATCATTAGTGGTTAATTTGGTTTGGTAAATGGACGGTTTTAGATTTGTTTAAACCTTCATTTGATTTTTTTTTTAATTTGAAACGTAATATTTTAGACTCAAATCAATCAATTGCTTAATAAAAGTTGCTTATTTTTGTGTCCTCTATCGCCCTTTTCAAGGGACGCACTTATTTCAGAAACACCCTGTACATTTAAAAATAAGTGTAAATATATGCAGGTTGACCAAACATATCTTGTCCGAGAAATGTGCAGATCAAGAAAATAGTCCACAATAGGAGTGACAAAGACAGTAGACCTTAATAGTAGGGCAAGTACTTCAGAGTCAGACAGAGAATGAGCTCCGGTGCTAGCCTGGTAAGTTGCTAGCACGCATCTGAAACTCGCGGATAAGAAGAATTTGATCAAGCTATACCGCTCTACAGTCTCTTGGTATTATTTTGTATTGTGAAAATACGGTTCTGCATTTTTTTTTAACTTGATTTGTAAAATTATAAAAAAACGGAAAATGCTTAATTTAATTTGTCTACAGAATTGTAAACAATCTTAATCTTCATATTCTGATGCTATAACTGATACAAATGTGTTATTTTCTGACACAATCAGGCCGAGTATGTATCCCATTTTATCATAATAACAGTTATGTTATTTCAGGGTTAAACGTTAAGGTTAACGTTAACTGTTAAGATATAACGTGCGCGTTATTGAGGAATTAAGACCATTTTTAGCAAATACTTGTATTGCAATTTTTTTGTTTTTTGAAGACGCTTATGTGTCGACATTTTTAATAATAATTATGCAAAATTATTATAAACAAGAGTCAGTATTAGACAAAAACACATATAACTGACAGATGTCTTTTAGGTTATGAAACATGAAACAAATGCAAACTCGTAAATAACGGGTAAGTACGACATAATATAGTTTGTAACACGTTATCTTAAATTATAACATAGTTTCTTGAATTTGGTGTCGCTATAGTTTAACGTTACGTGTTATTTGTCTAATGAAAATAAACGGCTTATTAAATTTACATTTACTTGCCGGTTTTATAAACGCACATCGAAGGTAAGTTGTAACTTAGGTAAGTATTTACCCTAAAATTATTGTTAGGTTAATTCAAACGAAGAAGGATCTAACAAGGAAACTACCCCAACCCGAACTCTCCGATTTCCAATATTTTTATATATGTTGTAGACTCGGTTGTAGAACATAAAAAATTAAATGACATATTTTTTTATCGGCGGAAAAATATATTTAGGGGGTGAAATACATCCTCAAAGTTCGCCCCCTAAAACAGTTTTTTCTAAATATCTGGGGTTCTAATCAATATTTTGGAATGAAAATAAATGGAAATTGTTTCTTATAAAAAAACAAATGTTTCACATTAGATTCCGTGTTTGGAGGTTGCTACCCTTATTTTTTATTTCAGAAAAACTATATTTTTCAAACATTTTTTATATGTATTATTACATAAAAAAATCATATTTGTTAAAAAAAATAAAAAATATGATTTATGTAAACAAATTAGCAAAATTAAATTAAATTCTCGAACAACCCCCTAGTGAGCGAAAAATTTCTATACGATTAGAACTAACATTGCAGAATAAAATGTTTTTACTTTTTCTCTAATCATACGAATAATTTGTTCTATTAGGCGCAAACAGATTTAAACGGATGCAAACTACCCCTCATGTTCACCCCCAAAAACAGTATTTCTGTGACATCTCAATATTTTGAAATGAAATAAAAAAAATTATTTGTGAAATATCTGTTTTTTTTTATAAAGTAATTTTCATTTTGTTTCATTTCAAAATATTGATTAGAACTCGAGATGTCACAGAAATACTGTTTTTGGGGGGTGAACATGAGGGGTAGTTTGCATCCGTTTAAATCCGTTTGAGGCTAATAGAACAAATTATTCGTATGATTAGAAGAGAAATTGTAAAAACTTTTTATTTTGTAATGTTAATTGTAATCGTACAGACATTTTTTGCTCGCTAGGGGGTTGTTCGATAACTTAATTTTGCCAATTTGTTTACATAAGTTATATTTTTAATTTTTTTTAACAAATATGAATTTTTTATATATAAAAATTTTTTGAAAAATGTAGTTTTTTTGAAATAAAAAATAAGGGTAGCAACCCCCAAACACGAAATCACTAATGAAACATCTGTTTTTTTATAAGTAATTTTTTTTATTCCAAAATATTGATTAGAACCTTAGATATTTAGAACTGTTTTTAGGGGCGAACTTTGAGAATGTATTTCACTGACATATTATTTGATGATAATAATGCAGAATTATTATAAATACCCGACAATAGACAAAAACACATACAACTAAAAAAGTTCTTTTAGGTTATGAAACAAATACAACGTAGAGCGCAAATAACAGGTATCTACGTACAACATAAAATAGCGGCCGTTTACGGCACGTTATTAAAAACGTTATTTCTAACATAACGTTTTAGCGTAAATGGGATACATACTCGGCCTGAATGTCTCAACAACTTTTTGTGTAAAAATTTATTAAAATGTAAGAAGATTAAATTACTCCAGCTGTTTTTAAGAGATTTGGACATATAGAATATTAATCAATAAATCAACAAAACGTTACAAATCACAAAACAGTTTTATTTTACGGTATATTTTGAGGAAAAAAACATATCTAGCTATATTAAAAATAACTGTTTCAAAGATAAAACAAGTCAGAACCATTAACACTCTTTCATACTCGTGGAATTCAAAATGGATATTATAATAAATAAAAAAAATAAAGAAAAAAGGTTGAAATTCATTAAATAAAAGTATTAAACAGCTTGTGCCATATCGCAAAAGATTTTAAAATCATATTTTGCCATTTTCTAGAAACAGGTGAGTCCGATTACCTTTTCAATGTAATTTACCTGCTTTTTTAAACAATATTCCTTATTATTTTTCCAAAAATGTCAATGGTGTAGAAAAAAGAAGAAGTACGCCTTGATTTCTTCTCTTTTTCTAACACCTCGTACTGTTAAAAATAAGCGAGGCAATAAAAGTAAAGACAAACAACGTTTGTTTAAACTTTTGGGTCTATGGGGGCCATATTTTCAGTAGCAAGGAACATTTAATTGACATTTATGTAATATGTAATTTAATGGCGCCCGGCGGCAAAATTATCAAAAAATTCCACGGTTGACTCATCCACTGCAGTATCAAATAACAAACAACATTATTCAGCATAAAAAAAAACAACCTCCACACGAGAACAGAACCGTACGAAACCAGTTGTTTTTCCCAATTTGAATTTAATAGTTTTTGGTAATCGATTACATCCATTCGAATTCGCAACTCTGTAGCGCCTTTGACATGTTAATTGCAAATATTGGATTTACAGTCGATAAATATATGACATCACTGTTCAGTTCAGATAAACATGTAGTAAACAATCCGAAACGAACAACAAACACTTCCACGGATACGGTGCTAACAGTCAAGTGTTATCCTTATCTCGAAGCATCACAAATATCTTACGTCAAAATACCAGGTGCTTCCATAAAACTGTTATCAACTTATTAATTACAATCGAGGCACTCCTCGGAGGAAAATAAAGTCTGGAATATACTTACAAAAAGTATCAGGCAACAATATTGTTTATTATATTATTATTAATGATTGGTTGCCTTTAAATCGACACACTAATAAGGAATTAATATAGGAAATGAATATTTATGACCGAATAATAATCAGAGAATGCAGTTTTAACAAGATAACACCCAATTGGTTGTATCTTATTAATGTTTGTTGTTTTTAATAGATTGTCTAGACTATAGGAAAAAAATGAGACACCTTGATATATAAACTAAAATTATCGGGTGATACTATAATTCATTTGAGTATTTCAAATACATATGGCTGCAAAGGTTTAATACCAAAATTTTTAAAACTATATTTACTACAGTACAGTAACTGAATTCTTGGATTATTCATTCTTGGCTGAAGAAATAAATAATATTGCACATCTTCTTAGAGATAAAAAGACGATGTATATTTAAAACATTAAGATTTTTTAGATCAAAAGGGTGCCCTTGTGCAAGTCAGTGACAAATAAGTGTACTTATTAATATCATAAGCTTATTTTTTTACTGTGTGGTTACATCATAAAACAGCGCGTAGCCCTTATACAGGGTGGCCAAATGAAAACGAAACAGAGCCATTTTCAAGAACTGCGTCAAGATTGTAGAAAAACGCTCAGACCCGTCGATTTTAGATTAAAGGGGGACATTCTTTGCTGGTATTTTTGACTCCGCCACTTTCACCCCCAAGCAAGGGTAAGCATCACCCCCAAAATATTTAAATGGCATTGCGGGTTGAGTAATGTTTCTTTTGAAAGCTCTTACAATTCTCTTTACAACAGACTTTAAATGTTATAATTCCGCCCAATACTTTGAAAATAATATACATTTTAAAATTTAAATTATGTATAGTTGCTTACTTACTACTTAGTTGATTAAATGTTCAAACTGATGACCGCCCGCTTCCATACAAGAATAAAGATTTTGTTCGAAACGTTCACGCACATTCCGAAGTATTTCCGAAGTGATTCGATGGCATTCGTCGACGATTCTTTGACGCAAATCTTCCAGCGACGCTGGCTGTGTTTTATAGATTTTACTTTTTAGGTATCCCCACAAAAAGAAATCAAGGGGCGATAAATCCGGCGATCGTGGAGGCCACTCAATGCTGCCTCTTCTCCCATCCAATTCCGTAGAAAACGTTGATCCAAATACTGAAGGACAATTAACGCATAATGCGGAGGAGTGCCGTCCTGTTGAAAAATCAAATGATCTTCATCATACTCTGGAACATTTTCAATAATATCAGTCAAGGCAGGGTCAATAGCGTCTTCCAGTAATTGCAAAAACATTTGGCCAGTCAAATTACTAGGTAGAAAAAAGGGACCCACCAGCCGGTCACCGAAAATTTCAGCCCATACATTGAATTTTTCCGGTTGCTGTGTATGCACCTCGTGAAAAACTCTTGGGTTTGAATCGGACCAATAGCGGCAATTGTGACGATTTACCGTCCCGTTCAAGAAAAAATTGCATTCATCAGAAAAATACATGTTAAAAAGAAACTGTGCTCGCTCATTCATTATTTCGCAAAATTGCAAACGGCGGTTATAATCAGCCTCATGAAGTTCCTGGACTAAATGTATTTTGTATGGATGGAATTTATTCTTCTTCAAAATGGTCTGTATGCTAGTTCGATTTATCCCAGACACAGATGCCAGCTGCCTCGTACTTAATGTAGGATCAAGATGAACTTGTCCCAAAACTGCAACTTCACTAGCTTCATTAACTATAGGTTTTTCAATTTCTCGTTTTTTATTGGCTACGTTCCCTGTCTCTTGAATTTTTTTTTTTACTAACTATAGAACATACTTCCTCCTGACATGTCGATCTTGTTGTTGTTCATTAAATAGCTGAGCTGTTCTATTCGCACATTATTGTTCATAAAGTGATGATATCTACCCTTTCCGCAATGGAATAAACCATAGTGTTTAATTTTCAAGAACACAATTAAATAAACTACCAACCAACGCTTCCAAAATAATACTAGAAAATAATTTGGAATCCACTAATTTTACGTTCATTGTGTATGTGTATAGCATTCATTTCTGTTTTTTTCAATTGTGTTTTTTTTACGAAAGTGATAACAAATCGCCAAAAACCAATGTAACGCAAGAAATACTAAATTTATACCATTGGCTAATAAGTATTGGGCGGAATTACAAAATTTAAAGTCTGTTATAAAGAGAATTGTAAGAGCTTTCAAAAGAAATATTACCCCAATGCCATTTAAATATTTTGGGGTGATTACCCTTGTTTGGGGGTGAAAGTGGCTGAGTCAAAAATACCAGCAAAGAATGTCCCCCTTTAATCTAAAATCGACGGGTCTTGCCGTTTTTCTACAATCTTGACGCAGTTCCTGAAAATGGCTCTGTTTAGTTTTCATTTGGCCACCCTGTAAAAGAGATGGGAAGGATAAGGGGTCACGGCAACCCCGCCTTCCATTTGTTTTTCGAAGTGCACAAATCTCCATAAACTCGTAACAATTGCAGTGCAATAAATAACATATGTGAGAAATTTGAAGTTAACATCTCAAAAATCATAGAGGTTATTAAAAAAAAACTGTTTAAAAATTCTGTCCTAACGTCCTGTACATTTTAAAAGAATAATTTTTTATATAACTCCATAAATTGGCCTTTTCTGATATACCCCGTATATGTATACATTTAACATTGTCCCCTCATATTTTTTTATAATAAAAATAAGCAATAAAACATCGAAGGGAAGGGCATCATCAAAGTTGATACTAAAACTCATTGTAAGCCGCGAAAATCCTCGATGCGGACTGATTTCTGCCGAAGCCGAGAACCCACCCATTGCATAGGAGTAAGGGTAATAATTTATTGTTACAACCACAAACAGAGACGTCATATTTTAGCGACAAAAGTAGTTCGGCTTTTTGCCGATCATAAATTTCAAAAGGCTATAAAGTTTACTATCTACGCACACAGAAACGCTACCCACGAGGGCAACAATGGGATGCGAGTCATAGGCGTGCGCGTAGTTTTTCTCTTCACTTCACATTTAAATATTTTTTGTAGAAGGACTTGCAATATCTTTCTGCGCGAGTTTCATTCATTTTTCGAAGAATCACGTCAATGATCCAATAAGGGCATAATCCCAGAGAAATATTAATAAACTACGATGTTTGTTATCAAAGACTATCAGAACGAATTACAGATAATTATTAATTACATAAATGAACGAGTATCGCTAATAATACCCATTCATTAACATTAACTCCGATAAACGCGCGAAGATGCGCAAAAACCTAATGAACTTAATGATAGATTTCTGTAATTGAAATGTAAAACGTAATTATTGTTTTATTCATGTACTACTGACTATTACAAGCCATTTTATACGTAATAATGTTGACGATCGACAATAATGATTTGATATTGAACCTTTACTTAAAAAGTTTATTAACAGGCACCTAACAAAACTAAAAATTTATTAATTGTTACGTCTATATGTACATTCAGATATAAGGGAAAGTTTAAACATAAAAAAAACATCAAAATTGGATAAATAATACGAAAACGGCAGCGGAAAATTACCCGCTAGGGATGTTTCGTTTACCTTGAGAGAACACATGTGTCCGTTGGACTCCTGAGGCTCCTTGCCTAGTCCTATTGACCGCATTGTTAGGTTTGGAGGATTCTGTAGCAGAAGACGATCGCACTCTTGATCTTGGTTCTAATTCTTCCTTTTTTGTATTGGTAGTCATAGCACTGAAAAAAAGAAAAAAATACGTTAACAAGTTTGTAATTGACATAAAAAGATAATAGGACAAGGCAGCTGCTGCTTGCGGTTTGCTAGTATACTATTTTTTTCATATTAGTCCAATTAAATGGGCCTTTAAACGGCATTTTTGGTCAACTTGAATGAATTTTTTAATACGTTAGTTTGAGGTATACAAATAACAAAAAGTGGCAGTAATTTTTTTAAACCCCCGGCGAGGGGTGAAAGTAAATAAAGTGTTTGTTTCAAGATAACTCAAAAGGGGTAAAAGCTAGAAAGCTAGAAAAAAGTTTCTTGTAACATTTGTAGAGGATAAAATTTTAAATAAAAATGATCTATTGACTTTTTCTTCTACTATTAACATTAAGTTAAGTGATAATATGTGAAATTTTAAAAAATCACAACAAGCAGGAAAAATAATGAATCAATAGTTTTTTTTTCAATCTGCTGTAAAAAATATAAACTTTCTTTTCATTTCTTATTTTTAATAAAAGATGGTATAAAAATTTTAATTTTTTAATTGTCAGTTTTAATGAGAACACTAAAACAATTGTTTTCTATGTCTTCGATTCATTATTTAAAGTATTGAAAAGTTGTTTTGATTTTGAAATATACAGTATGTCTACGGTAAGAGTAGAAAAGAGGGAAAATATTTTTATTTTTCATTTTACGAGAAAAAGGCATTCGTGATTAAAGTTGTTGCTTGTCTTTAAAATGCGATTGGCATGGAGAACTTTTTTCCTGCATGTACAGGGTGATCAGAAAATCGGTAAATATAAAAATCGTTCAAGAATAAACTGCCTTTGTTTTAAACAATACAGAAATATGTTATTAAGGAAAGTTGCTTAGAGTAAAAATTTATATTATAGTTTCAATCTGTATATGAATCGGCCTACTCTGATAGAAAAGGACAGTAAAACATTTTTATTCATTTTACGAGGAAAAGGCATTCTTGATTAAAATTTTTGCTTATCTTTAAAGACATTTTAAAGATATTTTAAAGGAAACAATTATAATTGTGCGACAATAGCAAACGTAATATTTATCTTTGTCATGGCAACGTCGTTGAAACTAATTAAAATTCAAAAGATAAAAAAATTGACAATTGAAAAATTAAAATTGTGATAACGTTTTTATTGTTAGGGACATCCTATATTAGATATTTATTTGACTAAAGACGCTGAGAAGGCTGATGCGCCGACTAGCCCGAGGTGTGATGTTAATATAAACACTGATAAAGAATGAATGCCTTCTACCCTGTTTTAGTCGAACCCTAATACGGTTCCTATATATGGTCTCATTTTATAAAAGACCGTGAAGTGTGCGTGTGTGTAGTTTAAAGACAGTGTCAATAAGAGGAAATAACTGGAGTTCTTGTAATTGTGAATTACAGGGTGAGTTTATCACTGAGTATCTTAGCATGCTTACTAATTGTTAATTAAGTATTCTGTACTGTTGAAATGAATCATATGTGGAAATTGGTAGCAATGTTTGCTTGACCAGACCTGCCTATTATTGTTTTGTTGAGAGTTGTTGTGAAGGGCCGTTAGCTGCGGTGATACGGTCTAGTTCTGAGGTATGGAGATATTTTAGGGCTGTTAGCTGCGGTGATACAGTCCGTCCGTTAGCTGCGGTGACACGGGGGATATCTCAGAGGCTGTTAGCTGCGGTGATACAGTCTGGTTCTGGAATTGGACGCGTCTGGCCATGAGCGGGGTATCCTAGGGCTGTTAGCTGCGGTGATACAGTCCGAACCGTTAGCTGCGGTGACACGGAGGGTACCTTAGGAGGCTGTTAGCTGCGGTGATACAGTCTGGCTCCGGTACGGATGGTCTGGCCATGAACTATCTCAGTGCTATTGTTTTTCAGCCAATGTTGGTTGTGCAGAGGTGGTTTGGTCGGTTTGCATTGTTAGCCTGATATCTGATAAATAGTTGAATGAATTGGCCATATCAGTAAAAGATGTTTTGAGTAGAGTTAGCTGCAGCAATTTGAGAAAAGTATATCTAAACAGTAGTAATTGATTTAAGTTGTTATGCTTAAGGTGAGGGTATGCTTGGGTACTCATGTGTGTTTCTTTTATTTTCGGAAAAAGGTCCTGAGCTTAGCTTAAGTGCCAGAGGTCGCTCCTGACGACAGCCAGACCCTGACTTGTGAGCACAGTAAGTGTTTTGTTTATTAAAAATTAATTATAAGTATCCAGTATCCTTCAATGGTCCACGCTCGGTATATACGCCCCTAACATTATTAAAAACAAAAAAAAAAAACACTATTTCTCTGAAAGGAAGTTCATATTTTTAGAGTAGATTGAAAAAAAACTACAATTTTTATACTTTTCCCTTTTTGAGTAATCTTGAAAAAACACTTTAATTTTTTTTAACCCTGGCTTATTCTACATATATCGAAAATTCAGGCAAGTTGACCAAAACTGCGATTTAATTTAAAGGCCCATTTAATTGTATTATATCGGTCTCTAAATTTAACAAAATTAGAAAATTTCTCGCCGCATGAGTATCCTATGTCTACTAAACTAATAAAATACATTTTTATAAAATTATCGAATTTGTGAAACAATTTTGTTGCACTGGAGTTCCTTTCAGTGTAAAAGACGTATTGAAAGCAAACACATAAATGAAATCGACTTTTACAACATCGTGTGTAGTATTTCGACGTGTGCGGTCGATAATGAACTTCGATTATTTCGTCATAAAATAAGAAATTTTAAGAGTAATTTCTGTAAGACGTAAGTGAAAAATAAATTGAGGATAATTCTAGACAAAACTATAGATAAGCTTATAGTCGTATATTTTAAAATGCTTTGTAAATCTGATAAAACAAAATATGTTGCACTTTTCACTGATAAACGTATCTGTTTTAAGGAGCCCAATACATAAGTCATTTTAATGGTACAGATAGATATACGCCAAGTTTCATTCACTGGCAACAAAATGAGACACTCGTAGGATATATTTAAATAATTTTCTAATTGTTTAGTGACGTCAGTGACTTTGTCCGCAAACTCTTCCTGTTCACGAAAAAAGTAATTTTCTATGGTCCTCAATATTAGGTAACAAAACTATAAAACCATATACAAACAAACTGATACGTACGCTAAGAATGAAAGAAGATAAACAATCGATTAGTGGTGATAAATATCCACGTGTAGCCGGTATCAGTACCGGAAATAGTTTCAATAATAGCGAGGTATTTCGACATTACAAAACCTATCGACTCGGCAAACATGCACATGGTGCAAATAATATTTATTAAAATTTTTAAAGCCTAGTACCTTTCCAAAAAAATATAAATTTTTTTTTGTCCAGATCGCTATGAAAACTGGGATCCATATAACTCACATTTTTGATTTTTTTATGGATAGCCAAAAAATATCGTCTGAAGCTATTTATTTATTGCAGTTTCCGTTATTTCTTGTTTATTGAGTATTTTGCCACCTGCGCAAAAAATTAAAAAAATAATCAACACCGCCGCAGAGCAGCGCCAACGAAGACGAACATAGTACCGTTGCGGACCCATCAAGACCTGTGAACGAACGTCGACCCGATGTCTTGCCGTTCATTCACCAGAAACGGATTTAATCATTTAGTGCAGTTGCACTAAATTAAAAGCATCCAGGAAACCGTGTCCTCCCGAGAGTGTACGAAGTGCAAGAAGACAACAAAACAAATTAGATGGTTTCCCACACGGAAGACAATCTGCCAATGCGACGTCTACACCCTCGGTTGGCATGATGTGGGAGGCGTCCGAACATCTCGTTTGCCCCTTTGCCGGTCAGCAGAACACGAGAGTCCACTGCAGGCAATACATGGAGATCTCCGTAAAAATACCGGTTCTTCCCATATTAGGGGTAATTCCCGAGTAAAATGATGACAGATGACAACGCAAATAAATAATAAATAAAAAAAGATATTTTGACCAAAGTAGAAGCTCACCAGTGCTAAGGAACGCTGTGTATATTCTGTAAACTGATTACTGTATTTAAAAACCGATAAATGACACTGACATTCGACATAATTACAAGGCCTAGGTTTTGTTTTGCCATTGTATACCGAACAAGGTCAAACATTACTTTTAAGTAGCATTGTGGTGCTATCATAAAAATAAACTTGGTCTTTTCAAAACAAATTCTAAATCGTAATAATAGGAGTTTTAGTTGCCTCTCAAATCTGTACAAATATACAGCAGGTTCAATTGTTAGAAACATAAATTTAAGTAAAAAAAGAATAATATTTTGTTAAAGTGGACAGTACCTATTGAAAATTTGATTAATTTGGAACTTGCTTTATGCACCCTAAGAAAGAAAAACTAATTAAAAAAAGTAATAAGCAAATTTGTGACATATGAATGAACTGATTATCTCAGACTTGACACCCAGGTATAAAACGATAATTTGATTAAAGTAATTGCATTGTTGCCAGATATTCAGTTTTTTCAGATTTAACAGGAAATTAATTACAACTTTTCAAAGTCCTCCGATTAATTTTTTCTAAAAACATTTCACAAAAGTTACTGTTTTTATTGCAATAACTACTCCTACTACTTTGCAGCAGAATTGAAAAATGGGGGCTGGTTAATTTTTACGTAAATTCACGTTTTTCGCTTATAACTTTTTTCTGTTCATTTCCACGAGAAAACAGTAAAGCACTTTTTTTTTCGTCTTCAAAACACCTACAATTAGTACTCGAGCGTCAAAAAATATTGATTAGATCAAAAGTTATAAACAGAAGAAATTTATTTAAGACTTCATTCATTCCTTATCACTGTCTAATAACTCACACGAAATCTGGAATCGGTAAATTGAATAGTTTACAAGTTATGGCCTTATAAACAAATTAACTAATTGTTAGTCTGAACGATCCCGAGCATCTTCCACAATCGCACTGATTTTTTTCAATGTAAATTTCATAATAATACATTGAAATCTATCTTTTTTAATTTCAAATTTGCAACCTGGATTTTTTTTTTATTTTTT